GGGAGGGGGAGGGGGATGGGGGGTGGGGCAAAGTGCTATTAACCACCTTAATTTTTCATCTTTCTAAAAAGGGTAAATTACATCTACACCACTTAGATATGCTAAAATAACTTCAAGGTCAATGTGGTATCGGTAATTACAATTTACAATCAACCCCTAGAACATTGTTAGAAACTCTACGGAGATAATGCATTGGAGACGTTGTTCCGATAGAGTTCTAACGTACCCAATCACAATGCATCATCCTATTAGAGGTTATAACAATGCTTCAGGGGTGATTGTAATTACCGGTACTATAAGGACCTTAAAATTATTTTAGCATACGTTAGGGGTGTGTGTAATTTAGCCTTCAAATAACTGAATTGCTAATTGTAGCGGAACTTTTACTGAAATTGGTTTATTTGCAGCGGTAGTCTCATTTGTCAATTTTCTAACTTTCTAAAAAATCGAAACTCTTTCAACTAAAAAAAGTCGAAAACTTAGAATCTAAAGATCGTTCGACAAATTAGAAACCAAACACAACATTTTTTTATGGCCAATCCATATTAATTTTACAAGAAAAAAAAATAAAAAATAAAATAAAATAAAATAAGGTAGATCGTGCTGTGCAGCACGTAGGGCATGAAAAAAAGGAAAAAACTTTGAAGTTCCCGTCCTTTAGAGGACGGGAATATGGGTTTTACTTTTTTTTTTGGTTTACTTTATTCCTTTAGTATTATTTGGTAGGGTGATGATGGTGATTTTAAAAATTTGACGATGAATATATAAACGAGTACAATAATCCAAATATGTGTTATCATGTTCATCAAATAATTACAAAATTTGATATTTAAATTTTTTATAAAAACTAAAAAAAAATAGTTAAAACATGAAGTTCCCGTTCTGCAGAACACGGGAACTTGAATAATCTTCAAGTTCCCATATTCTGCAGAACGGGAACTTCATGTTTTTTGAGTCCTCCGTTCTGCAGAGCACGGGAACTTGAAGATTTTATTCAAGTCTCCGAATTCTTCAGCACGGGGATTCATTTTTTAATTTTCTTTTTCGAAAATAAAAAATTAAAAAGTTTTTTGAGTTTTCCGTTCCACATAGCACGAAAACTTGAAGAAAGTTCAAGTTTCCGTGCTCTGCATAATGGGAAGTTCAAAAAACTTAAATTATCCGTTCTACAGAGCACGGATATTGAAAATTTACCGGAATCGAGCCCGTTTGCTACGGATTCAAAGTCGAAAAAATTTCGGAATTCAAATTTTTTGAAAGAGTTTGAGAATAAAGCTGCAAGTAAGCAACACCCTTCTAATAATTAATCAAGTAACGGCTCGATTCCACTGACGTCCCCCCTTTCTCCCTCTCCATGGCGTTCCCAATATACTGATCTTCCCACCATTTCAGAAGCCTAACCGGAAAAGGAAAAAAAAAAAAAAAAAAAAAAAAAAAAAGAGGAAAAAAAGGCCAGTTGTTAGGATGAACAATCAAATCAAATTCACAATTCTCTCGGCGAATTACGAGCGAGGGATTTTACTTTCGTGAATCGAATTCAGAATGACGGCGGCTCATCTTCTGGGTAAATCATTACGTGCTGTTGATCTTCGATTGCCGATGAATTCGTTAATAAAAAGGTAAAATTCTCAATCCAAGTTACGCTATTTTTTTTTTGTGTGTTATGTTGAGCAGTAGATTACACCTACGTGTTGTGTGTGTGTGTGTGTGTCTGTGTGTAGTTTTAGTTAATCAGTCTTTGGTAGGAGAAATTTTTATTATGAATGTAAATGTCTGTGTACAAGAATATGAACCCTAATTTAGTGTGTGCTGTGTGTGTGTGTTTTTATTTGTTGGATGTTACAATTACATTCCTGGAGGTGGAAATTGGTATGAAAAATTACTGAATTAGCGATTAACGACATTGAGATATTACTCGAAGACTCGATCTTGCTGTTGGGAATTTGTTTTTCCCCATATTTTTTTATTGTTTATTTACTCAAGGAGATTTGAGTACTTAACTAACCCTAGGAAATTCGATGTAGATACGAAGTTTATGTCGAAATATATGCCTTAGTTCTTAGCTAGGAAGTATTTAACTCTTATTATGGATATAGAAAATGCCGCCAGTTTTAAACTCGTAGTTTCTCGATGGAGTAGTCTTTCACCATTATACCTTAATCTCAAATTTAATTTTCCGTCACCTAGTAGGAGAAGCATGTTGAACTCCTCTACGTTAAATTTCGGTTAGTGATTGAATATGCTTTTGGTTGAAGCGTGAAGGAACTACAACTGCGTCTGAAATCAGATGAGGAGCCAAGATTAATCTCCTTCTAACAGTCGCTTGTTGGGAAGTTTATGTTCAATTTACTACAAAATAGAAGCCTCGATTTATATTTTAGATACGAGTCGATTTGAGTAGGAGATATGGGTTTTTAAGGTTTAAGAAGAATATCTTAGTGGTCGGCAAGTTTCTAGTTATGATAATAATACATGTTAAAACTTTAGTAGGAATTATTATTTTAGCTGATAATAGTTGTTCACTTAAAAGTTAAAACTATTACTTTATTGTATTTCTTGAAAATAAGTTTACTTGTTAATTGTGAATAAAATCTTCAAAAAAAAATAAAAAATACCAGCCAAAATTTCTTAGTAGTTGAAACGATTAAATCAAATAGATAGGATTTTTGACGATTATTAAGATCCGGGTTTAAATAAAAAATAATACTCTTGAAATAGTAAAAATGCCGCCTAAATTCTGTAGATGAGCTACTATATTTATGTATTTGTAATGAGGGTTAAATAGTTGACATGCAAACAATTATTATTGGCTGGTGAGATTTTTTTTAAATTAGTTTCTACAGTAAGTATACTTTTTTATTAAAATGCTTCACCAAATTCAGTTTTACTTGATAAACTTATATCGCATGCTCCAAATTATTGCCTGATATATTTATTGAAACTATCTTTTTATAGAACGAACATTAATTATATCGGGAGCCATGCATAGCTTGATATTGCTCCTAAATTGTGATAACTATTCTATGATTTTACCACATTCACATTTTCCCAAACTTTAGGTATAATAGTGGTATCATGGAGAAATTTAATTTCTGCCTTCACAACATTCTACTATGGCGGAAATATTTTGGAGTCTCCCACATAAATTGTATTTCCGAGACGGACTGAAAATTTTGAATTTAAAATAGAATCTTGTTTAGGTGAGATAAATACAAATGTCTCTAACTAATCCGCCCCACGCCATTATTCAGCGATGAACTTTGCAATAATTACAGTGCGGATTGCACGCATAATGTGCTGTATCGAAAACACAGCTAAGCATCCAAACGGCTTGCCCGTTTCCCCCCCTATAAATGTGATGCGTCCCCTTCGTTTCTCAATACCCCAAATCCTTCTCTAACTCTCCTCATTTTCTTAGCGGCAGCCATGTCTCTCATTTCTAGAGGTTTTAATTTCTTTGTCGTCTTTTACTGCACATTCATTCATGGCATGTCTGAAAACGAGCCGAATTCCAAAAACAATGACCGGTCTGAAAATCCGAGGAGAAGGCCTAGAACTTCTCCCTCAACCCCAATTGCCTGCCGTGTCTGTGACAGAATCTTTTTCGACAACGTCAGCCTTGTTTTGCACTTCGAGTGTCACCTCGAAGAAGATCTCTACAAACCCGGGCCCCACACCAATACCCCACCACCATCCATTCAAAACGAGAAAAAGCCTCAATCTTTAAATCCTCCAAAAATTTATGGTCGTTCTGTAGAGATGTCTCCTCGGAATAAAGTTCCGAAAACAAACAACCGCTCTAAACCTCCTCGTTCCTTTCCTGTTCGTTCAGACAACAGAACCGATGTTGTTCTAACGGATGCTGGTCTTATAGAGATACCGGTGCTGAATTCGATGCCACCTTTAAGCCCATCTTTTGATGCTCGAATGAAATCTTTGCAGCATTCATCATCGAGCCGGACTTTGTTTTATCCTCGAGCAAGAAGGGTGGTTGCTAATCCTAATGGAACGACAGGTGTTGTACCTTTTCAGTCAAACAACAAAAATGAGGGAAGGCTTAATTACCGGAAACCGCAGATTAGGCATTTAGCGATGCGGTGTAGGCCTATTAATGTAGTCATTATTAGTGATGATGACGGCGATGACAAGTCGAACCCTAAGGAGATGTTGGACTTGACCCTTAGGCTGTAATGGTTTTTTAGAGTTTGGACTGTCTTGTGCTATTAATTTCATGTTTTTCTTACCGTGACGGTCGACTGGATTTTACATGTTTTCTTTAAATGAGTTGTTGGGGTTTTCCAGAAATAATATTTTGGAGGATTATGAGTTTTTGACTGTTTGTGCTTTTTGCTTTTTGCTTTTCTCTTTCCTTGAGTAAATTCTTAGATAGAAAATGTGGAATGTGTGTGAAACAGACAGTCTGTGGGAAATAAAAACCATTTATTGGTATGTCGAAAAAGCCTCTACAAATAGAATCCAACTTTATTGCATTTGTAGGAAAATAGCTCATATTACAAGCACATTTATTTGTATTTTTTTCCTACAAAATAAATGGACCAACATATTGAATATATTTCTCGGGAATAGGTCTGGGGGAGTATAGTAGAACCTCGTTAATTTAATACTCGATTAATTATTAACATCGCTTAAATAATATTTTTTGGTCGGTCCCGACTTGGGGACAATATGGTAAATTGATAATTTGCTAAATTTATAAGATAATATGGCTACGAAAGAATTTTATATTTGTTTGGATTGAGTCATTTGACAAGAAATTTCATGGACATTCTCAATTATGTACTCATCAATACAGTTGTTTAATTGTTGTCATGGTAGTAAAGATATCAATGATAATTAATATTTTTCAGTTCTCGAGTTCCTTGAGTATCTAATGGTTCATCTAAATTCTATGTTTAACAGATATTAAGTTCTCGATTAATTAATATTTTTGTAAATTAATTTTTTTTTGCTTTTTATGGTAGTGAGAGATATCGACATTCCTTCATTATGATAATTGAACTATTTGAATATTTTTGCAGTGCTCCGAGTACCTTCGTTATCTAATGATTCATCTAATTTCTGCATTTAATAGATAGTAATTTTATCGATCGATTAATGTTTCGCTAAATTTGTTTTTTTATTTATTTTCATGGTAGTGAAAGAGATATTTGACATGTAGTCATTATAATAATACAACTATGTGATTATATTTCCATTTCTTGAGTGCCTTCATTATCTAACGGTTCATCTAAATACTACACTTAATAGATATTGACGTATTCATTAACTAATATTCGCTAAATAAATAAATTTTGCTAGTTCCAAAGTATATTAATTTACAAAGGTTTAATTGTAAATTGGAAGCCATGGTCCCATTAAATTGTGGGATAATCCACTTTAAATATGGTGGTAGAGCTATATAGTTTCGTATGGGATTGTACTTTTGTAGTGAATAGCTGATTAGCCAGCAGCTTTAATTGCTAGGATTAGCTGCGTTACGTTGTTCTTGTAACAATTAAACTCTAATTACTGTAAATTAACAATTACCTTGCAGAAAGGCTACTTGAAACTATATGTATCGTCAAAGTTCACAACAGTACGAAGGTTATTAATCGAGGCTCTCTTTTTCCATGTTCTTACATGTAGAGAAAATTGTTCGATTGGACGAAGCTGGTACAAAGCATGGTTCGTATGGCGACTTCTTCCATCACTATCCACAGGTAAAATCTTACTTCCTATGAATCTTTGGTATTGCTTTATTTTTCGGAAGTTTCGGGCCCTTTTTTTTTCTCTTTCTATTTTCGAACAAAAATAAGTTCAGTGGCATGTTTGATGGATATCGAGTTTACATATGGTGACAGATTGAAGTTTACATTTGCTCGTTTGGAGTCTCAGTATTAGGCCGTCCGGTTATCAATATTGGACTACATTGGGTTAAGCAGTACTGATTAACTAATTATTTAGTTAATAAGATTTCCGGTTCCTTAGATTAGATCTTATACTACATTAACATATTCTTGTACTATATATGTGATTTCTTTATAAAACCTCTTCCTTAACAAAATTACGATATAGTTTTAAGGATAAAATGGTCTTTCCGCTTTTCTTTTTAAGTTACCGGCTACGAAACAAAACCATACATGCAGCATGATTGATCCGTGTCGAGGGATGGGGAGCATCGAAAATCATAACTTATGCATATATAGTTCAAAATCATTTAAATCAATTTTATTTTTCTTTCTTGCATACAATGAATATAGCCTATTGAATATGTCACAAGCCTACAAAATTTGGAACTTGCTGCACCTCTTGGCTCAGCCGATTTTGTGGTAATACAGTTAAACCTCTATAAATTAATACAGTCGGGTTCGACTTAATTTAGCGATGATGTCGCCGTGTCGGGACCTGAATAAATTATTATTTAAACGAGGTTATTAATTTACACAGAATTAGTTTATTGAGGTTCAATGAATTGGATAAGCTTTTATTTTATTATTATAAAATGAGGTAGAAAACAAAGATGGTAGAAAAATCCAAAACTCCAACCCCACATATTGCTAGCCCATTTCTTCTGCAGTGGATTACGGGTTTAGTAGACTGTAT